TAGCATTAGAATAGAGAGTGCTAGAGTTAGAGGGTCAAATGAATATGAAAGAGATGTGTTTTTAGACGTTTCTTGAAAATATTAAGGACTCTTGGATTGAGCTGGGCAGGTCATTCCACCAGGAGGGAACAGTTAACGTAGAAGTCCATGAAAGTTTTATCATAGGTAGAATGCAGAATGTTTCAATTCAAGCATTTCAGTCAAATGTAATTTATACAATATTTCAAACCTTTAACCCACTTGGGAAAATCAACCCATGGCAACAGTTTAAAAGTAGCCCAATTCTGTGGAAAAAACGCGGACATGGCAACCCTGCATCCAACAAGAGCTGCAGGAGTCAGTTTTGACTGATCACAGGTCGAGAATAAGGAGAGATGACTGACAAGACCATGCTTGAGTATTTGCTGCTCAACAGATCCTGAGCTAATTGACAAAAATCTGATCTTGTAAGATGTGCTCCCTTTACACAGAGTGCATGTGATCGCGAAATCGAAAGTGAAAGTAAACAGCGCAAATGCTCATTCAAAATAATTTTATACTATTTTATACTCAGCATACTGAGAGCGGCTCCCTGATGCGCCAAAATTATATACAATATTAGAATGTTTAAAGGAGTGGACACGAAAATTGCGGGAGCGAAACATGTTGCGGGAGCAGGCGGCAATGGTCAGAGATTCAGCGGGAGCTAGATTAAGAAAAAAGCCGAATCCCTGACATTTTGGGCAATTAAGAAATCCCGGCCGGACGCATTTTTGTAGGTCCAAAAAGAGGACCTGTCCGGGGAAAAGAGGACGTATGGTCACCCTAATTTATAATCTATTGCTAATAGATGTATTCTTTTTAAAGTAGCATATGGAACATATTTTCTGCCTCACTCTGTGACAAGAAGCCTCAACAGATAACAAAAGGAAGCATTTGACTGGTCTTTCCGACTTGAGTTCACGTGCATTTTCTCAGTCGGGAAATAATTTTTCACGTGCGGTGCCAGTGATTATGCTTCTTACATCCGTTTCGGAGAACCGGAGGAAAAATTTCAATCGATCGATCAGGCATGGCACCGAAATCTGCGTTCTGATTCGGTTCTAGTACATACCGGTTACATAGGTACTGGTGCCATATTGGTACCGGGTTTCGGTACCCAACCCTACTGTACAGTACAACTTGCATAATAATTAATACTCCATAAAATCACGTCTAATCATCACCCTATGAACTGAACCAAAGGTTGCGTGCCGAAAGCCTGTATTGAGTTTTAAAATTATGTGAATCGAAGAAAAAGCACATACAATTTTTAATCATGTACTCTAATGTTCAAGAGATATTATAGCTGTTTTTTTCAGTTTTTGAAATATGTTTTATATGCTCACCTTTGATTATAATAGAGTAAAATATGTAGTAATACAGTAAAAGCATTTGTGCAATGTGTTAAAAATTTGAAATATTATTACAATTTAAAACAGCTGTTAAAGACCGTTTTTGCTACAAAAGAGTGATAAATCATCAAAGCTAACCATGTGGACACATACCAGGGGAGATGGGGCGGCTGGAGGAGGGAGAGGGGTTGTAGGGGATTGGGCTGGACACCGTACGAGCTCTCAGTCCCTGAGCAGACATCTCATTAAAATATCTAGAGAGAGAAAGAGAGAGAGATGTGAGAAACAAACCACAAAACGAAATGAATCTGGCAATGCATGCTTTTTGTTACAATAGTCATGTTAAGACCACTGTGTCTGGTTATTTTCAGGTTTATCAAATATGTACAATAATAAGGTTATGAGTCCAGTCATCTTTTGTGTGAAATGAATGCACCTCTCATCGTCCATCTCAAGGCTGCTCTCGCTCTCTGACAGCTGTCTACACAGTGCCTCCCTTCTCTCCATTTCTCTCTGGAGTTTCCTCTGAAGACGAATATTCTCTTCCCTCATCTGCCTTTCCTCCTCAATATATTGAGCCCGCTTCTCTGTGTCTGGAACGAAAGAGAGAGGATAGAAAACAAACACAGAAAAATGTTATAAAGTCATAAATTGTCATTTAAACCCGTGAATAAACAATGTTTTAGGATTTTGAAAAAAATTAACTGAAGCACAAGATGCTCTTTGGATGATTTTAATTCTGGATGAAGTGATCAATTTTTATCTTAAAAAAAGACATGCTAATTCATGCTTATTTTCAATTAAACGTTCTCAAATTGTTATGCTGATATTTACAATGAATAAACTACTTCAATAACTATACAGTTGAAATAAATTAAAATTAAGTTATTTCAAATATTTAAATTATATAAATCTTTTATTTATTTAAGTTTTAAAAGGTTTTTATATCACCCTTATTGCTGACTCAATACACTGCTGTGTTAATCCCTGCTTAAAGCTTTAATGATACCATGAGCTAAAATAAGATGTGGTTATCTTACTGTAATGTAAATGGAATTGTCTCCCTCTAGTGGCCAGCACAATTTAAAGTTATCAAGCTAAGAATTAAATAAATGTGTGTAACTCACTGTACTGTGCTACAAACTATGGCTGCTTCCCAATACATATAGCTCAACTACAAAATAAAATAATTTACTTCACTATACAGGGAGTCAAGTTACCTTTTGGTTTACTATTTACAATGTACTACTAATTGGGAAGTACTAATCCTAATCTGGAATTGTATATAGTATACCATGAGCTACTGTTAAGATTAATATTAAGGCTGTATTCCAATTCACAGAAGAGTTTGTTTGCCTCTGGCTGTAGTATGATGGCAGAGAGGCTGTGTTGGTGCAGGAGTGCATGCGTGCGTGATGAGACAAGGACTCACGCTGGAGCTCTGTAGTGCGGAGGCTGCGTTTGAGCCTCTCCACTTCACTCTTCAGGAAGCGGATGTGCCGCATCATATTCTCCGGAGAGTCAATCTCCATCGAAACTTCACGTGGAGAGGGCGGGGCCGACACTGGCTGGTCAAGCTTCTCCTGCAAAATCCTGCCAATCAGAATGAAGAGAATAAAAATCATGTGATCAAGTAATTGTAGCCACATACAAAGATTTTCAGAAGGTATGAAAATGCATTAAGAAGACCGACCACCTAACAAGGGACATTACCTTTTCTCTGCCTCGAGTTTGTCCATGCGCTTCCAAAGCCGGTTGACTAGTGCCTCCTGCTCCTGTTCCAGAGTGTTTTCCAGATCAATCTTCTCACGCCGGAGCTGCATATATTACGTGCAATTAACAAAAACGCCATGGTTTTAAAATAATGCATGTTCTTAAGGAAAAATGTTGGGCAACAATAATAATCAGAAATTTGCTGAATCTGTGTGCCAAAGCCAGATACTAGCAGATGCCCAAGCAAACGAAAAACTAGGTACTTGGAGACAGCTACTGATTTGAACATTTGTGCAATAGATGGAGGCCATTCAAGAATGAGTTTTTTAGAAATGTGAGGCTGGACTAATTGCTGCTGCAACATGGCTAGTCTTACATTGTTGGCCCCCACTCAACTGGACAATATCCAGAGGGTGTTGCGGAACATACATAAGCTGAAATTGAGGTTAAAATGGTTACTTCATTGCTGTACATTTATAGCTAACTTATTTATCTGCTAGCTAACATTAACTTGATAAAGTGACACATTAAATCCACACTGAAGTTGTCATTTATCGCAAATGGTACTAAATAGCTTGAAAAGGCATAATTATTTATATTTCGAATAAATGCTGTTCCTTTCAACTTTCTATTCAAAGAATCATTAAAGAATCATGAAAAAATATTTCCACAACAGCACTGTTTTCTTAAGCACCAAATCAGCATATGAGATTGATTTCTTAAGGATCATGCAACACTGAAGACTGGAGTAATGACTGCTGAAAATTCAGCTTTGCCATTACAGGTATAGATTACATTTTTTAAAAATTACAATGGAAAAGTTATTTAAAATTGTATTAATTTCAATATTTTCACTGTATTTTTTTTCTATCAAATAGAGGCAAGCCTTGGAGAGCATACAAGTCTTCTTTCAAAAACATTATAAAATCTTACCGACCCCAAACATTTGAACAGTAGTGTAAACATAGTTGGCATGACTCATTAGTACGCACACTAATCCCACTATCTCTCCTTACTCCTCCACACAATACAGCACACCTACTAAACACATGCACCATAAACAATGTAATCTGGTCTCAGCAGAGGAGCCAGATTCAGTGACCATCTACAAAACAAACTCTCATACGATATAATCAGCTACCATTGTTTGCTTATGCTTACCTTTAACAGCAACCAAAATCAGCATTATATAAGAAAGCTGTTGAACAATAAATCTGTAATGACATAGATACTGTATGTCAACTTGAAAGTTATCTTTAGGGATGATACTAAGGGCAAGTGATCACGTTTCCTACCCCTGACCTCAAACGCCACTGATGGGCTCTTTCCTTCTAGAGTTTCTCACCTGCATGAGCTTCCTGGACAAGTCATTGGTGAGGAACTCCTCTTCTTTCTCATAGTTGACGGCGAGCGTCTCCTTCTCCTTTTGCAGAGCCTGAATCTTCTTAAATAAAGTGTTGGAGATGAACTCCTCTTCTTGTTCTGCCCGCGCTTGCTGCAGAAAAACACTCTATTCTTACAGATATATTTTGGAAAAATAACTGGCATAATCTTTCCATACGTTTCAGTAAACAAGCAATCACATTGTTTGATCTTAAAACATGATTCTGAAAGTATCAAATTTCACCACAAATTCCTATTACAAAAGAATTAGAATTATAATATCATGCTGCCTCATTAAGCATATACTCTAGATACATATTACATACATGAATAATACATTGAACTATGATGTAATGCACAAACTGATGGAAAAAAAGAAACTAGATAAAAAAAGGAGATGTAATAGGTTTGTAAAATCAATGCCTTTATTTTATTTTTAAATCAGATTTTTGTAAGACATTTGAAACATTATGGTGGCATCATAGCTGCTAGTTTCTAAAAGAGAAGACCTCAAATAACCAAAGTGCTATTATAGTTACATTTAAATGGCTTCACTCATTGTAAGAATTGTACATCAAAAATGTTGCTCAGGTGAAAACATATTATATTAAACAAAATCAACCAATTGGACCATGTCAAGCCCCTCCCACAGTTTGATTGACATGTAACAGGGAAGCAGAACCACACCCCATCACAACCTAGTTTCCTAGGTCTTTCAGATCCCATTGCTATAGCAAAATTCAGCACACTAAAGGATTTTTCACACCATACACACCACAAGCTAAAAAGACTCTATTAGAGGAAAACGAAACAAATGAACAAACAAAAAGAAAAAAAATCTATATTATCAAAATCGATGCAGAACACTGCAACACATTAACTCGCTGGTCTTAAAATATATCACACAATTTCAATATTGGAAACGATTTCTTGTAATACTTAAAATTATAATGACCATCCAGTGTGTGTCATTTGTAATACATAAGCTATTAAATCTACAAGTAATAAAAGTCTAAAGATATCCCATACGAGTAAGTGTGATTCCAGATGAGAATGTTATTTACTTAACCTGAAACAAAATGCCAACATTTGAAAACCTATAAAGACATTCCTATGATTACAAAGAGCCTTAAGACAAAGAGAGACCTCTACATTGTACAGCCAATACACATGATACAGTGATAGTTGAACAGAAATGCTGATTACTAGCAATACATTCTGAACACCTCTTACTTGCAGCGCTCAGGCTAACATCAGCAGACGCTGTCTTCCATATGAAGGATAACAGATACTACACTGAACTCCTAAGGAAGCAGTCTGGTTAGAGCTTTTCACACTTAACCGTTTCTACACGAAGTACACTTGTAGGGTGACATTTTGGAATATAAAAGTTGAGACATGTTAGAGTTGTATGTGTACACAAGAAAAAGTATTTTCTCATTTGTCTTTTTAAATACAGTGTTTTGCAAACTTAGAAAAAAAGGTTCTTAAAATAAGGTGAACTGCATGCATCAAAATATTAGACCTCTGTATGACTTCTTCACAGAATTCGATAAATTCCCATTTTGGGAATCGTTGAAATTCGCAGAGGATTTTAAGGAAATGTCCCCTGAAAACCGAACCGTCTTTTCACATATACAAACATACCTGCTATAATAATTAATTATACAAGAGCATGTGAAGTTTCACTGTCTTTAAAATGTCGAAAGCACTTGTAAAGTGTATGTTTGCGGTGCTCTCGCCAAACCTAACTACTAAATGTCATTTTATTTTTTACATATTGTGATTTATGTACAGAGAAGTCCACCACATACTTTATTTTAGTTTTATAAATTAAAAAAATAATAATAAATAAAACACAGGGATCCTCCTCCTGACGTCATGGGTCCACGGTAACGTGTAAGGCGAATGTAAGGTGTGGTTCAACAGCATCTATTGTTTTTTCCCCCTAAAACACGAAAAAGAGCTTTTGTGCCATCTTTGGTCAAAGGGAAATTTGTTTTGAGTATACGGTTTGGAGTTTAAGGGGTCTTTTGAATATACCCCTCTCATTTAGTCATCTGATATTCATGGCACACAAAACAGTTTCTGATTTCCTGATGGTCCAGGTCAGCGCAGGTATTAACCATCAAGAAGAATGAAGTATAATCTCGTAGGTCCCCCAGAAAGAGTAAGTAGAATTACATAGGACCCAACACAGAGAGGAAGTAGAATTCACCGGGACCCATCTCAGGAAGTAGAATTCATCAAGACCCCCTTGGAACAGGAAGTGTGTCAGCAGTGTGATGCATGCTCATGCGCAAGGGAATAGGTCAAAGTATTGTCTCTTTGAAGACCACGCGTTTCAGAGTGGAAGCTGTAGATGTTTTTTCAGGCCAAATGTCTCTTTTCAGCTCTTGTGACCCCGCCGCTCTGGAAACAGATCAAAAATATACCTGCAAAAACAGACAATATAAGAAAGTAACTGTTAAAAAATGTATTAAAATGTATTGTTAAATTGTCTAATTGTAATGTTAAAAGTTATATGACGAACAACGATTTGCCATACATTACCATTCAAAAATTTGGGTCCTTTATGTTCACCAAGGCTGCATTGATTAAAACTTCATTAAAAACAGTAATATTATGAAATATTGTTACAATGTAAAATACCTGTTTTCTATTTTAATACATTTTAAAATGTAATTTATTCCTGTGAAGCATAGCTTAAATTTTCAGCATTCATTACTCCAGTCTTCATTGTCACATGATCCTTCAGAAATAATTCTTATATGCTGATTTAGTGCTAACGCATTTCTTATTACTATAAATACTGAAAACAGCTGCTCAATATTTTTGTGGAAACCATTAAACTTTTTTTCAGGACTCTTTGATGAAACAGAAAGTTCAAAAGAATAGCATTTATTTGAAATAATAAAATAAAATAATTTGTAGCATTATAAAATGTCTTTACTGTCTCAATTTAACACATTCTTGCTGAAAAAAGTATTAACTGACCCAAACCTTTGAATGATGCACAGAAAATAATTATAATATTATAAATAATGACAATAATACACAGAGAGATATTTGAAGTGCTGTACCTGCCTATAGTCATGAAGCCACATTTATGAATGATGTTTTCTCTCTGAACGCTTTTCTTCCTTCTTCCTCAGCTTGGAAACTTCTCCCTGTTACACATAAAGAGAGAGAACAATTTACAGGAAGTTAATATTAAACGGTTCAATTAGTTCAGTTGAGTTCATGTTATTTGTTGCTGTAGGGGAGGCATAGTGTATGAAGCTGGAAGGAAGACAAAAAAAGGATAAAAGGGGAGGAAAAAAAGAGAAGACAAGTTGAAGGTTAGAGGAAAAGATCTCGGTGTGATACAAAATATCTTAAACATTTTTTAATTTATAAATTATTCAAGAACTTTAATAAACTCACACACAGATTTACAGGAAACAACAACAACAACAACACTGGGTAGTTCTGGTGTCCAGTCTGTGCGGATATAATGAGGATTTCTGGTATCCAAAATGGTACTACTGTCTACAACATTATTGTTTTATGATTACATATACTACCGTTTAAAAGTTTGGGGTCAGTACAATTTTTTTTAAAGAAATTATTAATTTTATTCAGCAAGGAAGCATTAAATTGGTCAAAAGTGGGAAATATACCTCCGGTTCCACAGACAAGATTTTAAGACCAGTCTCAGACTAAAATGCCTATATGGGATGTTTTAACTGAAAGAAACTTGCACTGACATATCTTAAAACATGTCAGTGCCATTGTTTTGCCTCAAATTGACATAATCCTGGCTTAATCTAAGCCCTGTCTGTGAAACCAGGCCATAATGTTACAAATCATTCTATTTCAAATAAATGCTGTTCTTTTGAACTTTGTATTTGTCAAAAAATCCTAAAAAAAAAATGCACCACAGTTTCTACTACCATATTATGCAGCACAACGGTTTTCAACATTGATATTAATAAGAAATATTTATTGAACGCCAAATCAGCATATTAAAATAATTTCTGAAAATTCAGCCTTGTCATCATAATTAAATTATATTTTAATATATTAAAATAGAAAACCGTTCTTTAAGATGATAATATTTCATAATATTACTGTTTTTACTGTATTGTTGATCAAATAAATCCAGGCTTGGTTAGCATAAAAGAGTTATTTCAAAAACATTTACAAAAAAAAATCTTATCGAGCCCAAACATTTGAACAGTATTTCAAATATTTAACTTCAATATTTCTAAACAATCATGGGAGAGGTACAATCTTATCCTAGTGAGCATTTTATTGGCCAAAAATTTGATCAATTTTTCCATACATAATCAAATACACATATATGGAAAGAGAAACACTCCACACAGACTGTGCAAACCTCAGCATGTGTAGCGAGATGGGTTTGGATATCAGGGACCAGGGGGACGTGGCTCTTCCCCAGGGTGGTAGGGTCTCCTTGTGACCCCATGCTACTCCCCAAGCCCTGGTTTTCAGGGGTGGGAGTGTTCACTCGGAAAATCACCTTTCGAATTACCTGTAGATGGGTATTGAAGGTCAGAGGTCACCATGAATGCATGTCATGGGAAATCAAAGCAATGTCAGGAAAGACAGGGGAGGATCGGTTAAGATTATGGAGGTGTGAGCTGCAAGAAAATGTGTTGTATTCAATCTTTCTCTAAATCAGCTCTGAACAGGCAAAGCTAAAAAAAAACTACAAGCAACCTAAGGAAGTAAAATATGTCTGAAAATCAGAAATGGATAAAAGAATAGGAGAAAAAGAAAACATTAAGGGAACAATGGAGTTACTTTTCTGGTGATGATGTTTCCATCTTCATCAATAAACTGTTCCTCTGAAACTGACTCGCCAGGAATGTTCTGCGCCTCCTCTCCCTAAAGCAAGACAGCGCTTCGTTCAATATGCAGACACACATTTCCAAGACACCTACAAAAGCTGCACACCACACCTGCAAGCACATTTCCACACACCCAGAGCAGTCATGTGAACCTGCAAGCAAAGCTGGAACTTTAAATATTAGCCAACATGCCTTCATGCCCAGCATCAGCATCTTTAGAAATCACACAATACTCCACTATGTGCTTGTGTATCTATCACACAGGCAAATAAGATGATAAAATGCAGAATCAGATGTAAACTCAAACCAAGCACCTGTAAGCATAAGGAAAAAGGAAACACTGCACAGCAAGAACCAAGTGACGTAAAAACATGTAATCAGATCACACTGTGTTTCTGATTGTATGAATCAGATTCAGTCCACCAGCTACACCGAAATCAGACTCAGACCAAAATCGGATCTTAACCTGACTGCCCTGCAGTTTAGCAGGCAGATACCTTGAGAATGAGACGTCTACGAAACACTTTGGTGGTGACAGTGCGCTCTTCGTCCAGGCCGGTCTCTGTTGATAACCGCTGCTAATGGATGCATATAAAATACATCTTAATATGTGTGTGATTTCAGTTCTCTCATTTAATTAGTGTAAATGACCATCAGTGCTTTCTTTCATCTGGAATAAATAAACTGTTTTACGATGTGAATGATTCTGATGACCATCTCACTGTAAAAAAGTTAAGAGTGTCATTTCATAACATAGACATGAGCTGAGGCAAAGAGAGCGGAAGAGAGTTTTAAACTGGAAGTAGCAGCATTATCAAATCAGTTATTATATGCTGGTATTTGAGCGATTATCTCACCTGGACTTTGTGCTCAGCGATCAGAGCACCTTCTTGCTTGCCCGCCCCTGCCTTCACACCATTGGCTGATTCCTGAGACGCTGAGCTACGGGGCATGGTGTCAGAGCGCTCACCATTATGTCGAGGTTTTCCTGAATCCCCTCTGGATGACGATGTCATGGAGTCACTGGAGTTCTCCTGACTGCAAGGGGGTTGAAATGTAACAATTTAGCTAGTAAGGAACAAATGTCTTGAGATGATATTGGGTAAGAATGCATTAAAAACAAAACCATGCATTCTGGCAAACCTGTGTAATGTTTTACTTTTATATAAACTATCATTCAAAAGGTTGGGGTCGGTAAGATTTTTTAATGTTGTTGAAACAAGTTTCTTATGCTCACCAACATTTACTTGGTCAAAAATACAGTAAAACATAGTAATATTTTGAAAAGTGAAATCTAATTATTGTGAAATGTAATTTATCATAGATTAAAACGGAATTTTCAGCAGTCATTACTCCAGTTTTCAGTGTCACAGGATCCTTTGGAAAACATTGTAATATGCAAATTTGGTGCTCCAGAAACATTTCTTATTATTACTAATGTTGAAAACAGTCGTCCTGCTTAATAATGTTATAGAAACCATGATTCGTTTATTTTCAGGATTCTTTGATAAATAGAAAGCTCAAAAGAATCATTTTAATGCATCCTTACTTAATAAAAGTACAAACCATTTTTGAATGATAGCGCATTTTAACAGGATGTTAATTTATTATAATTTAGTTTTGTGATGCAAAAGAAATTTGAAACATCATACATTGTCTTTCTGGAAAGAGAGACAAGCTTTGAAATTTACAGTATGTCTTTTAGTACTTAAAACACATTTCAAATTTGACTTATTATGATATGATTAAATGTGGGTTAATGTAAGCATAATAATTGTAACTATGTACAGTACCTGTTGTCCTGTCGGTCCATGTAGTCTGACCCGTGACTCCGCCCTGAAGCGGGCGGCTCCGTGTTCGATGTCTCAGTGAGCCAGCCTGCGGAGAGTGAGCATAACTCAGACTCAATTTGTTCAACACCTCTCACTACCTCTCTCACTTTCTCCTTAGTCATCTCCTCATTCACTTCCCTCTCACTCTCTCCGACATGGCCTCCAGACACCTCCAGTTGCTCCTGTCTTTTCTCGGCTTCCTCCTCCTCCTCTCCTCCTAAGCCAGACTCCCTCAGGACCTCTGCCCAGGGTCGCAAAGGGGACACATCATGACCTTTGACCTCTTTCAGAATCACTCTTTCCTGTCCCCTCATGCTAATGTTTAGCTCTTCTAATGTTGATGGTAGTAATGATGATGAGGGACTCTTAAGCTCTTCTTTTCCCTTGTGTGTTAGGTCAGTCTGTTCCACCGTAGGGGACGATTTCTGTTGGGAGTGAAAAGACTCTTTTTTCTCATTTTCTTCTCTCTGTTCCTTTTGTTGAGACCCCTGGTTCCCCTGTAAAAGGTGGTCCTGTTCGATACTGGTCGTGGGTGGGTCTATTTTGGGGACAGACTGGAGTGGTACAAAGCAAACTGAGAGGTTTAGAGGAGGTTCATCATGGTCTAGGGGAGAAAGCTCAGGGGTAAGGTGTGAGTCAGGGTCACATGTGACAGCTGAGAGTTGTGTTATGAGTTTGGGGTTGTCGGGAGGGAACTGAGATTGTGCAGGATCTGGGGAAAGTATGTGTGTGTGTATTTCGGCAGTTGTTTTAGAGAGTGTGTGATGCTGGTTTTCAGGTTTGGATAGGGGCAAGTCACAAGGTCTGGCTGGGGTAATTCTGACAGACTCGTCCTCGTTGTGCAGCTCTAGTCCCCAGGAGGGGCAATAAGGTGGAGGGTCAAGGGGCAGATCTAAGATGGGTTTGAGGTCATCAGACATAGAGGGGCAGAGAGGGGGTGTGGTGGGGGTGGGGTTGGAAGTTGACTGCAGTTGAGCCAGGATGTTGTGGAAACCTGGGTGAGATGATACACACACAGATGGATGGACATGACAGGACACAATTACAATCACACACAAACAAGCACACACATATACATGCTTAAAGAAACAGTTTACCCAAAAATTTCTGTCATGAAAGTTTACTCACCCTCATGTTGTTTCAAACCTGTATTCTGTTAATGTTTGGAAAAACCTTTGTACTATTTATTAATTTATTTATTTGAAACAACATGATGGTGAATAAACAATGGCAATTTCATTTTTGGGTGAACTATTTTTTTAAACATAGACAGATAATCACCTAAGCCCACCCTGAAGAGCAAAAGCACAGTATTTGACCACATTTCCCAGAGCTTCAGCAGACATACTGACCAACAAACACACAGTTAATACACAATGACAATGGAACAGATTCAGAGCTCCAAAAACAGAGAGGTTATGATTGCATGTACACTACAGTTTAAAAGTTTGGAGTCAGTACAATTTTTTGAAGAAATTAATGCTTTTGTTAAGCAAGGATGCATTAAATTGATCAAAAGTGACAGTAAAGACATTTATAATAATACAAAGGATTTCTATTTTGACCTTTCTATTCATCAAAGAACCATGGTTTCCACAAAAATGTTTCTTGATCACCAGCATATTAGAATGATTTCTGAATGATCATGTGACACTGATATTACAGCTTTACTGTATTTATGATCAAATAAAGCCTTGGCACAGCCTTGGTGAGCATAAGAGACTTCTTTCAAAAATATTAAAAACCCCAAACCTTTGAACGGTAGTGTATGTCTATGTGTGATCTCCCCATAGTAAAAGAGCTGTGTGTGTTTATGTCTAACTTTAAAAAACAAATGTACAGCATTAGAGTTAAAGTTTGAGCTTATTATAATAAAGTGGTGTAACACTAGATTAGCGAAAACATTAACTTTTAACTAAGAGTTTTCCCTCAATAAACTCTTAATTACTGCTTATTGATAGTAAGAAAGTTAGTTGCTGTAGTAGATATGTTTAGGTATGGGTAAAGGTTAAGGGATCTAGAATATGGTCATGCAGCATAAGCCATTGATATGTGCTTTATACATACTAATAAATAGCCAAAATGCTAGTAATATGCATGCTAATAAGCAACTAGTTAATAGTGAGTAGTGTTCCCTAATCTAAAGTGTTACCAAAGGTGGGTGCTACTTTAGTTGGTTAAACACCATTACTAATGTTACATAAGTGCAAATAAGAAGCACAGTCTTAATTTTACAGTCATAGTCGAGATGGGGAGATAGTCTCAGCATGGGGAGACTCAAAATCTGGCTGAATAAAAATGAGGATAATGATGTCTGTTCAGATGAAAAGCTCAATAGAAGAATAATTGAGATAGAGGGATGGAGTGGTGAGGAGTGGTCCTGGGGGCACGCAGGGGAAATGACAGCATGTACAAGGGGGTAACAGCGTGGGTGGCGGGGAGAAGGAAGCAAGACTCAGGCAACGTGATGCACAGGGAGAGAAAGAAGAAAGAGAAGAAGGGCAGGGTGAGGGAGAGAGACAATTTCTACGTGCAGAAATGGGAGATGACAGGTTGAGAGCAGGAGAAGGAGAGAGAGAGAGGAGAAAGAGAAGGAAGATTTAAGAGGAGCAGATGACAATAGTGGACTGGATGATAAGTCTTGGGCCACATCAGGATACAGTTGTATGAGGTGTTGTGGTGGAGCATTGGGAGTGTGGGGAGGCAGAGTTTAAAAAAAAACACAAAATAGAACTTGTAAGTTAGAAAGACATGACAATGACAGTGTTAATGAGAAGAATGACTGGAGTCTGGGAGGGGGAAATGAGGGATTGTACTGGAGGAGAGGAGAGGAGAGGACAAGTCATTTTTTATCTGACAGAGGGAGGCACAGGAGACTGTCAGGAGGAGGAGACTACGGAGAGAAGGATGATCTCCTTCTTTCTCTTCTTTTTCCCCCTCTCTCTTTTTAGCCCTTGCTCCAGTGCAGGGGAGGAGAGGAGAGAAGGACAGATGGAGGAGGAAGCAGATCGACAGCTTTAGAGGCAGAGGACAGCTGAGTCTTTTAACTGAGGCCATGTGCTGTGGTCCACTATGTACAAAAACAGCTGGTAACACTCCTACCAACTAATATAAAAACAGCTACAGCTGATAATAGCATGCATTTTACTTAGAAATAACTCTTTCCTGACCTTTCAATAACAGAATAAATTTCATGGCTGTTTCATGTTCCATTGGCAATATACTGTAGGGCCTTCATTAAAACCAAAAGAAAAGTGTGTACACCCTTCCTACACTTGTTGAGGCAAAGCATCATGCTGTGATTGCTTCACGTCACATGACCATATACATGCATGTTCAAACCAGGCCCATGCATATGGTGTTGGGAGGAAGGAAAAGGGGTAACAGAAATGAAATACAGAAAGTCTTTAAAATAAGAGAGTAGTGAGTCATTAAACACACGGTGTGTGATTGGGGCCTTAAAAAAAAGCTTGTGACTAGGGATGCACCGATACCACTTTTTCCAGCCCGATACCGATACTTTTATTTTTGGTACTTGCCGATACCGAGTACCGATACCAATATTTTTATTGCATTCGTACATTTTTTAAATATTGGGTATATACAGAAACCAAAAGAGTATGTATAATATTAGTTGGTTAACTTCATTTATCAAATAGATACAATCAAACCAAAATTTATTCAGACACCTTCAACATTTCTCACATTATCACAGTTTACTGGCTATAGTTTAGAAAATGGTAATAAAATATAACAAGAACTCAGAGTCAAACGGTGTCAGAACAAATTCAGCTTGATAACGTTAGATAACTTTGACAGAAAGGTATGTAATGGATTACAATCAACCAAAAATTAGACAGCTGTTAGTATGACAGTATTTACACAACTATCAATACTTAGTCAGGAAACCCTTAGCCTTAATGACAGTCTCCTGGGCATGCTGTCACCCAGCTTCATGCAAACCTGAACTTAATGTTTTTCCCCCAGACTCGGTCTGAATCATTTTTGGTCCCAGATTTGTATCAGTTTTACATTTCTTCCAAAGTTTTGCTATCAATTTCTTCAAAAGCAGACATAGGTAGTCCACTGTATGAAGAAATTTTGGGTATAATTTGTCACGGTTTACTTTATTTTGCTATCCTCACTTACATAAATTAACTATAGTGTCCTGCACCCACTAGTAAAAAAAATATCAAAAATTATATCTGGTCTCTGAATAATTTTTGGTTTGACTGTATATCCTTTGGTTATTTTCACACTTAATTATGCCCATTAAAATGTTTTTTACAAGTTTTTGTTACTTTCACTGTTCATTTTTTGCTCTATGGTACATCATCTTTAATTTAATAGCATTAGAGCTGCTCCATTGCAGCGGCTTAGTACTGTAATCACGCGCTTTGCTGTAATAATGCAGGGAACTGTATTATAAATCTCCTAACTGTGATATTTTCAGAAATAGAAGTCGCGCTTTTTTTCATCTGAAACGTGCTGCGATTTATATTCCAAAGCCTCTCATATAATGCAGAAACGCTCAAGCAAGCAAAACACACGCAACGAGTGCAAGAATTTGTACTGATGCAGAACGAGAGGACAGTAGTACAACCTAGCGCATTTCACACAGGCTAGATTCACTTTCGCCTGAAAGTCGTGTATGCCTAAGGTT